GTCACATGTGACCGGAAGATTACAAAATTCGATTTTTTTTTTGCTTGGACAAATTATAACATACGCGTACCCATTAATCTATGAAGATATCCATAAATAATCTAAAAAAAGTTGACAGTAACGAGTGATGTTTTTTTTTCATGTCGTGTCTATACCAGCCTCGTGTCTAAGATGTTGATTGAAATCGGTGTAGGCCTACCATGTTCGGTGTTCTTACGATCGGCAAAACATACACACACTGGCATTTTATTTCTAAAATTACGAAATCTTACCTGAACAATTGACCTTAACCAGGGAAATGTCTTTTTCCACGACTCATCAAAACCAGCCTCACGTCGTTTCTGTGTTTCTACACGCTTCCGTTTCTGTGCTGTGCTAACGGTGATTGTACGTTTTAGCCGGGCGGCATCACCTTTTTTTCCTTTACATGTTTTGTCATATAGCATCTCGATGTTTGCAACTTGAGTGACAATTTGTTCCCCATTGACAGTGTCTGTACTTCACACGTGTTTAACAATGGGACTGTTTAATTTGTCCCGGCAAGTTCAAACCGCCGTGGCGTAGACGGTGATAATTTACGCAGTGCTACGTGTGAGTGGGTCAAATGGACGTAAACAATGCATCCTATTAGCATGGCGGTGAAGTTGTAAGCATGGCGGTCCGAACCCAAGCGTGGCGGCCGGGTCGCCGGTGCCGCCATGCTTTGTTCTATGTGGGGAGAACACTGCGTTAGAGTCCGAACTTTCGCTGGACTCATACAACGATCGATGTTTTTTTTTTTGAGATGAAGTTTTGCTTCTTCGGACATTGGAGTCATATTCTTCCTTTTTGGTCCCTTCCTTCTCTTCATTTCTAATAATAATTCTTATAACAATTTTAAGGAGCGCTAATTTTTGGATATGTAATTTTTTGGGTGTACTGGTTACTATTTTGAGTGGGAAACACATCCATTGCATGCAGATAGACAAATGCCACCAAACTAGACAATAAACAAAAAATGTATAAAATAGTGACTGTTAAGTCTACTACATCCTTAAATTAAATTTGTCACAGAGGTGCTCTGGAATTAATTAGACTGAGTACCACAGATATACAATCAAATGTATTTTTTGCAAGTTTTATAAATTTTGATAATGTGGTTCACATCTCAAATAGCAGACAAATATTAGCTGCCAAAGTAATCTGAAATTTTGAATTAATTTTAATGTGTCTTCATTATGCTTAGCACACAAGAGTTCTTTCTAAGCTTTCTTTGATTATGATATATACGTGGCAAAAATCTTTTCACATTATGTCAAATTAATTGCTCAACATTAAAAAAAATCATGCTCAGTCTGCTGACTTGAAATGCATGTAACATTGCTATATACCATTTCCTTAGATACATGAAAATGTATGCTTTGTAGAGACTTGAAAATGATAAACTCAAACCAAGTGCCTGTGAATAACCATGAAACTAACACTTTGCACCTTAGTTTTGGTTTCATTGTATTTACATGCTCACATAACCCTTATTATTATACATCTGTCACCGTAACGCCATAAGTTACAGCGTGCCGTAATTTTGCGTATTTTACAGGGTATTTTCATCCTACCATACTGTAAAATACTTTATTTTCGCTTGGAATTAATTGTTGTTATTTTCGCTAAAGGAATGATTTAGTGAAAATAAAATCCATCGAATATACCATTTTTCCTATATTTTAAATTCAACTTGTCAAAAATCAGTGAAAATAAATTCCATACAAAACACCAAAAAAGTCTTTTCAGTGAAAATTAATTGCAGCTAAAATAAAGTATTTTACAGTATTGGGAATGCGAATTCTAAATATGGAATGATTACGTTCCTGAAATAATAAAAACAAACATGGCTGCCACCAGAGTTTGACCGGACTCTACACAAAGAAGTTCACTGATTCTGTTCTAAACATTTTGGATTTTGGCATTCCCATGATGTATACTTAGAAGGAAAAGATGTATAATAATAAGGTTATTACGAGAATACCACAAAGTATGCTCTCAGACAGTACACCGCGTATCTCTTTTTGTGCTTCTTTTGATACATACACCTATGCATATTCATTTATTTCACAATCTTATTCAAAATAGCCAAATGGGGGACAACATTTAGCAATCCAATTATATATCCACACTTTTTAGTGATTCTTGATGGCAATTCTAGTGAAATGGGCTAACGACCATCTACTTCCAACCTTTATCTTTTTGACTCAGAAAAAACTTGTAAAATCTTAGTATACCTTTTCAACATATGCATTAAATTTTAAGGAATTAAATTACGAATGCATAGCTATTTTTAAATTTTAAAATAAAAGTAAATTTATTTTTAAAAATAATAGTAAATTTTCAAATGTAAATCTATTTTCAAAAAGTGAAGTGAAATTACAAATGTACAGTATAATTTATATAGTATTTATAATAAATACTTATTTCATTTTTGCTTATGCTTTTAAGATTGATATACAAATAAAAATGTTAATTATGAATGTGCGAAAATATGAAAAAAAACAACAACCAAAAACATAATTTGTTTCAAAAAGCTTGGCTGTGACCCTTCTTGGTTGTCGTTTCCATGCAACTTACATGACTAGCTGCATGAGTCTTCCAACATATCATTTTAAATTACATGTGTAACAAAATCTTTTTGACATATAGATGCTACGTAATGATTTTAGTAATTTCCCAACTACTGAAGAAAAGTCTGTATGTTAGTTTGAGATGAATCTATTGAGCAAATACGTTGAAAATAAATGTTAACTACAACTATTGTTGTCTATTTTCACCAAATTCTTTTCAGTGAATATTATTTGCAGCTCACAAGATTTGAATCATTGTAAGTTATGCTAGAAAAAAAACATCTTCCTAAAAGTTGAAACCAATGACATGTTACCTTCTTATATTTTTTCTCTTGCAGATTGTAGAAGTACCAGTAGTATTTAATCAAAATATCTAAAAAGGCTTGAGAATGCCGCCCCCACCACCACCACCACCGGGGCCCCCACCACCTCCTACATTCAGTCAAGCCAATACAGTAGCACCTAAGCTGAAGAAAAACGAGCAGGGCGAGCGAAATGCGCTATTGTCGGCAATTCAAAAAGGAAAGAAACTGAATCATGCTGAGACAAACGATAGAAGTGGACCGATAATTACCAGTAAGAAAACTAATTAATAATTTTGACTAGTAGGTTTGAAATTGAGAATTGAGTATTTTTAGTCCCCGTTCGGACGCAGTCCGAAAACGGGGACTTATGTTTTGACCTCCATGTGTGCGCCTGTGCATGCGTCCGGACCTGTATCTTAGAAATGCCTGGACCATTCACAATCAAACTTCACACATACATCATACATGATATCATACATATGTACGTCAATTTGTTTCATGATCTGATTCAAGATGGCCGAATGGCGGCCATTTTTGTGCTAAAAATCATCAAAATCGAGCATTTCCCGGTTGTTTACAGATGGATTTTGTTCAAACCTTGTATATACGTTGGGCATTATAGGACCTTAATGCACATCATTTTGTTTTACGATCTGATTCAAGATGGCCGAATGGCGGCCATTTTTGTGCTAAAAAATCATAAAAAGCAACCATTTCTCAGCTGTTTACAGATGGATTTTGCTCAAACTTGGTATATACATTAGACATTTTGTTTTTCAGATAACATTTATAATGGCCGACTGGCGGCCATTTTGTATTAATCAATGTGGTTCTCGTGCCATATCTCCAGCTTGTTATGACTGATTATGTTCAAATTTTAAATATTCATTATACATCATGTCATAGATATATTGGTTTGACGATCTTATTCAAAATGGCCAAATGGTTGTCATTTTTGTACTAAAAAATTATCAAATATCAAGCATTTATGGATGGATTTCGTTCAAACTTGGTACATACATTAGACATTACGGGTTCTTGATGCACGTCATTTTATTTTTCAGATCAGATTCAAAATGCCTGTCTGGCCGCCATTTTGTTTTAATGAATGGGTTTCCAGACCCATATGTCTGACTTGTTTTGTCTGATTATGTTCAAATTTTTAATATTCATTATACATCATGTCACAGATATACGGATATATTGGTTTGATGATCTTTTTCAAAGTGTGCTATTTTTGTGCTGAAAAAATCCTCGAATATCGAACATTTCTTGCATTTATGGATGGATTTTGTTCAAACTTATAACACATGTTAGACATTACAGGTTCCTGATGTATGTCATTTTATTTTTCAGATTGGATTCTAAATAGCTGACTGGCGGCCATTTTGTTTTAATGATTGGACTTCTAGAGCCATATCTCTTAAATGCTTTGACTGATTATATTCAAATTTTATATATTCGTTATACATCATGTTATATATATATATATATATACATGTATTCAAAATGGCTGATTTTGAATGCTGTTCCAGAGTAATATCTCTCAAAATGGACAAGTACTTGTTTGACGATCAGATACAAATGTCAATCATTTTAATGTTAAAAAAATCATATTCCTAACATGGTTATATTCCAGCTATATTACTATAAACATAACTATATATCTTAAATCTGATAACTAACGGGAACTGTGCCATGCATGGCTTGTTTTTATTATCCTTGAAGCTTAAAATGAACTCCATTTAAAATAATAAATGTGAAATCCGGACATTCAGAGTTGTAATTAATAAAATTAATTTATTTTTGCAGTTTTGAAATATAATTTTGTGAAGAAGAGTGTACATATCCAATGTAGTGAAAACATGATTACAGCCATTCTGTCTTTAACGCTATAATGGCCGTACTAACAAACAAAGCATTGATTTGGCAATACTTTGTAACAATGTAGCCCTTTATATTGTATAAATGACCAAGTACTGAAATATTATTGCAGCCTGCTTCTATTTATAAACCTCCTTGACCTTTTGCTGACCTAATATACTTCAAAGCGTTACACAACAATAACATCACTTTGTTGGTCAGGGAATTGACTTTTTTAAATACTTCCTCATCTTTAGTTGTGCGCTGTTCTTACCAACAGTCATTCTGACTGAGTATAGCTTTTCTATTTTTTCAGTGAGCAGACAGGGTATGTGCCAAGCCAATTTTGTATGTCGGTAAATTTGTACCTTCTTCAACTTAAGTTAATTTATGGTTGTACATTTACAACATGTCAATAACTTAATATTTAACAAAAGACGTAACGCAACTTGTAACTTCCTTGATGTAATGTCCCTTGGGATTCAAGTGAATTGTACAAAATGTACATGCAAACAAGTAAACAAGAGAGCCGTGGCAATGGCCGCAGTGAACCAACCATTTGATTTCCTACTCTCTCCTAATTAAACAAAAATCCCGCTTCGCTACAATGTAGCATCTGCATCATTTCCATTTGCATTCGCGTTTGCTTTGCTTCAGTGTTGCGTGCATTTTGGCCAAATCGAGGTCAAAGCGTGCATATAATTATAACAGCTACAAACAGGACATACTTAGATTGGGACTCACTTTAATCACCCTAAATTCAAAAAGATATAAATATTAATCAATGTGAACATGAGCAATACGTGCAGGCTTGCATGGTCGTAAATAAACTAAACATTCTCCAATCGATTTCAATCAGTCGATAAAAATGCCGAGATGTTTGGCGGAATGAATACTTTACTAGATTTGTTGTTGTTTATGATACACAATTAATCTCAGTTGTGAAGCAGATCATTACCTGTCCTTGGAGAAAAGAGGCAAAACTGATGCAAAGCTATTTGGAAGCGAAAGCAAGTTGTACCGAAGCTGCCTTTTTGTTTAAGTGAAGCTGAAACGATGCTGTAGTGAAAAAAAGCCAATTTAAAGCATATGCAATGGCTGTACTGTAGTTATGTAATCATGGTTTTAATGAACTTTACTTAGTTCCGATTGATCTCAGGGACATACATGTATATATCTACCGTACTCGACCGCGTTAGCGCCCAGGGGCCTCAACTCAGAAAATCACGATTTTGTAGGGGTGGGCGCTTAACCGAGCACCCCCCTCGAAAAAGAGTGCAAATGAAAATTTTGATTCATCAAGTGACAGATTACGTCTTTGAGGGAAAGTCAAATTACTAAATTAATTTGCGTCGTCATTGAT